TAAAAACCAGCATAAGAAACAAGGAAGGACACCAGACAATGCTCAAAGGCACAATACAATGAGGACATAATCTTAGTATCTATGACAGAACATCAATATACAAAATTAACAGACTGAAAAAAGAAGGAATTACCACAATGGTACTGAACAAAATACTTTCATAGAGAGACAGGACAAGTAGAATGCAACTCAACAAAGATGCAGAAGAAATGAGCTATATAATTAACCAACACAACCTCCTAGACATGCAAAGTACTTTACCCCAACAAAATCCCCAACCTCCATTCTTCTCTAGTGCAAATAGCACTCTCCAAAACTGACCATGTTAGGGCACAAATTCGCCATCACTGAAATATTACCAACTATATTCTCAGCCCACAATGCTATTAAGACTAGAAAACTAAACATAAGAAGGCAAAGAAAAAAAAATACAAACCTTCTACATGGATGCTAACACCTGGGTTATAGGGAAATTAAAAAAAAAAAGAAACAAAAGAGAATGAAAGCACAATGTATAAAAAAGTCTGAGTGCTAGCAAAGGCAGTACTTAAAGGTCATTTCATAGCAATAAGCAAAACAAACAAAATAAGAATAAATAAAGCATGCCAACTACTTAACCTAACATCAGAAACAAATAGAAAGAGAACAATAAACCATTCCCAACACAACCTCTACAAAAAAGGAAAAGGATAAAGATATTGGCAGAAATAAAAAGAATTGAAACAGAAGAAAAACAAATGAAACTATCCACAAGACCAAAAGTTGGTTTTGCCCAAAGGGTCAAGAAAAAGTTGAAATACCACTGGCAAATCTAATAAAGGATAAGAAAGACATAAATATAGAGTAAGAAATAAAATGGGAGATGTTATAAAGAAACAATAAAAAAAGGTTAACATAATTTTACAAAAAGCTATATTCCCACAAATTTGAAGCAAAGGAAAAATTGGTAAATTCTAAATTAACACCCTATCCAAACTGACACAAAACACTTGAACAGATCCATCACAAAAGAAAATTTTGTTTCACTTTTCTCATTAAAAAAAAACAACAAATAAACAAACAACAAACCCTTCCAACAACAATAAAAGCCTTGGTCCAGGCAGTCTCACCAGCAAATTTTAACAAACTTTAAGAGAAGAACTGTCACCAATTCAACTTATATCATTTAAAAATACAGAAAAAGGAGGAACATTCCCAGATTCAGTCTATAAAGCAAGCATAACTCTGAGACTAAAATGTGGTAAACACATGGAAGAAAACTATAAACTGACATCTCATGAAGAGAGATGCTAAAATTCTTAACAAAATCCTAGCCAACAGAATGCAACAGTATATCAAAAGAATAAGTCATCATAATCAGTGGAATTCATAATACACAAGAAAGAATGGTTCAACATAGGAAAATCAATGTAATCCATCATATCAATGAAGAATAAAAAGGACGTGATCATTTCAATTGATAGAAAAAAGGCTTTTGACAAAATCCAAGCCCCTTCTTGATTAAAACCTTCAATAAACAGGGAACAAATGGGAAATTTCCTAAACATAATTAAAAGTATATATGCAAAACCAAGAACCAATACTATTTTCAGTAGAGAAAGATTAAACCTACTTGTAAATAAAGACCAACCAAGAATGCCTACTACCACTACTCCTATTCAACAGTGAGGGAGCTCTGGTGGCCTAGTGGTAAGGAGTTGTGCTGACAATCAAAAAGGTACTCAGTTTGAATCCACCAGGTGTTCTGCAGAAAAAAGGTGGACATCTCCTCCTATTTGATTTATTGCCTCTGCAAACCCACTGGAGGGTCAGCTATGGGTCAGTTCCAACACCATAGTAACAATGTGAAAATTGCATTGCAAAGTCCTAGCCACAGCAGTAGGGCAAGAAAAGCAAAATAAGAGGTATAAACATTGACAAAGAGAAGGTAAAACTATAAATGCAGATGACTTAATAGTGTACATGTTTTTATGTGCTGTGGCAAGCGACTCATAGCGACCCTATGTACAACAGCTCTGAACCCTGCTCTATACTGAGCCAACTTCATTGTCTCTGACACATTCAAGCCCATTACCCCTATCACTGAGTCGATCCATCTCATCCAGGGTCTTCCTCTCTTGCACTGTCTCTCTGTCTCTCTACCCTCCCAAGCATGATGTCCCTCTCAAAGGACTGATCCCTCCTTGCAACATGCCCAACATATGTCAGATGGAGCTTCAGAATTGAAAACCCTGAAGACAAACAAAAAGACTACTAGATTTAGTAGAACAATTCATCAGAGTGAAAGGATACAAGAGCAACATACAAAAATCAATTCATTTTCCCTAAGCAACAAAGAAAATCCAGAAAGGAAGTAAGCAAGCAACACCAACTACAACAGTCAACCATAAGATGAAATACTCAGGAATAAACAATTAGAAACACAAAAGACCTATATAAGGGAAACAACAAAATAGTAACATAAGAAACAAAAAGACCTAGATAAGTAGACTATTCCATGTCAATCTACAGATTCAAAGTCATCCCAATACTGTTATCAATGCCATTCTTTAAGACAAAAGGTAATTTTCAACATTATTTGGAAAAAAAGAAAAGCTAAATCTTTCAGAAACTCTTCTGAAATAAAACATGTTACCATAAACAAAAATGAACTCAAGGTAGATTAAGGACCTCAGGGTAAAAAAGAAAAACTAAAGATCACCAGATATAAAAATAGGTACAAACTTTGAAACCCTTGCAAACATACCCAAAAATGTACAACCAGGAGGAGATAACAAATGAAATCTTTTAAAAACCAAATTCTTGGGTGCATCAGAAACTTCTCCAATAGGATGAAAAGAAAGCCCAAACATGGGAAAAAATATTTGGCAATGACATTTTTTACAAGGTCTCATAATTAAAATTTACGGAAAGCATCAGCATTTATATGGTATCACAAGAAGGAAAAAACCCTAATAACCCAACTATGAAATGAGCAGAAGGTAACAATCTTCACCAACAAACCAGACTGCCAACAAACACATGAATAAATGCTCAAAATCTAGCTATCAGAGAGATGCAAATCAAAACAACACGATACCATCTTACCCCATTATAACAGCAAAGTTCAAGAGGATATCAAATAAAAATGTTGGTGAGGATGCAGAGATAGGAACCTCATGCATTGCTAATGGGAATGTAAAATGGTATGACCACTATGGAAGGCAATCTGGCATTTCCTCTAAAAGGTAAAAACAAAAACCCCACTTGATCCAGATGGAAATACACCCTAAGGAAATCAGGTCTGAGAAACAGACAGATGTATGTTCACCAACGTTTACTGCAGCATTATTCACAATAACGAGATGTAAGCAGTCCAAGTGCTCATCAACAAATCAATGGACAGAAAATAAGTGGTACATTAACATAATAATACTGTGCAGCATTAAAACAATGAAGAACTCATGAAACATTACACAGCATAAAGGAGTCTAGAGGACATTATGCTGAGTAAAATAATTCAGTCAGAAAAGGTCAAATACGTATCTATAGGACTTCTATTACAAAAATAGGAGGCAGGTGACAATAGGGAGAGCAGAAATAGATTAATGAACATGGTGACGCGTTTAGAGGATGGAAGATCAAACTGCAATGAATGGGCAAATGGACGTGTGCACTGCAATGAAGAGTTTAGAACTCTTATACATAATCAAATGAGAAGGGGGGAAGGAGGGGAAAAAAACACTAGTTCAGCAGAGATGCATAGGAGATTTGATGAGATGTTCTAATAAATGACACTGATCAACTGTAATTAATGTCATAAAACAAAATGCGTATGACTGAATGAAAAATCAATTTACCAAAAATAAAACTGATGTCACCATCAAGAGGAGTTGGATAAAGGGAACATGGAATTCTTTGTACTATTTTTTAACAACTTTCTGTGCACTTATAATTACTTCAAGAAAGTCCCCAAAGAAGACTAAATTATACAGGAAAGGATTCATCATTTCAGCAGAAAAACACGTATGTCAGTAAGGTCTAGTAAAAATAAATAAATAGATAGATAGATAGATAAATAAATAAATAAATAAATGCTATAGATCCCCACATGACAGCTAAAGAGAAAAAATACTATTGCCATCATTGTTGATTAGCACTCTTAATTAGCAAATAAGGGAACTCTGGTGGTGTAGGAAAAAGGAAGTTGTGCTGCTAACGCAAAGGCTGTTGAGTCCTGGCAGTCTACCAGTGGCCCCCCCAAAAAGAAAGACGGACAATCTCTTCCCCAGCAATTTATATATGGCCTTGGAAACCCACTGGTGGGTCAGCTCTGAGTACGTTCTGACTTATCAATGGCAATGAGTGAGAGATTAGTTTACAATTACCCTTAATAATTAACGATGCTCACAGGTTTCACATACAAATTTATACTCTAAACTTCTAAAGAGAAAATTGTTAAGGTTATTCAAAGCTCGAGTATTTTGAATGCTAGGAGAAAACATTTCAGTTCTATCTACAGTCCATCGTTAATTATACAAAATAGAAAAAAAATAATTGAAAATACAACCTTTTATTTTTAATTTTTTTAAAAAAAAAATTTTATTATTTTTTACATGTGTACCGTCAAATCAGATATGACTGGTACAGGAGGAGATTGTCCCTCCTTCTTCAGCAGAGCATCTGGTGGATTTGAACCGCGCACCTCTGGGATTGCAGTGCAGCTTCTTGCCACTAGGCCACCAGAGCTTGCCTTAAAATACAACTTTTAATAACCCAAAACAAAATGGTCTCATCCCTGAATCTCCCATGTTTAGCATTTTGGCTACTATTATGGTAAAATATCTAACAACAACAAAATCATAAAACAGGCCATTTTTAAGTGTGCAATTCATCAATAATCTACCTTCGATTTATAAAACATATATATGCTTTATCATAGTGTAGAAAGCTATATGCTTTAGGAGTAATTATAGCAGTGAGATACATCAAATTTCAGATGTTTATTTGAAGATGTTTACCTGCACTAAAGCCTGAACAGCGTGAACTTGTCCAGATATCCTTAAACTGGCATCTCCATCTTCACTATAGAAGGAAGAATCAAAAGAACATGACGTTTCCATGTTGACGAGACAGTGCCGATTTCGAGCACTATACTCCACTAGATTTATCAGCAGACCTAATCCCTAAAAAAAAAAAAAAAAATAATTTCATAGGTGAGAGAATAAAAGTAAACATATGGAATATACACAATTTTTATTGCCAGCTAGAAATCAAATCAGTTTTACCACCTGTACATTGGTTAAAAAAACCAAAAATAAGATTGTTTATTTTCATACTTTTTATTCTTACACAGGCGTTTCATTGTATTCTTCTACAGATTAGGAAGTATGTTCATAAAGAACTCATAAACACAAATGAGTTAGGTATCTAAAACCTAAAAAAAAAAAGACAAAAAACATAATCTTCATAGAATAAGCATTTCAACTCACCAGCACTCGAATATCAAATCTCTGCTCCTGAGGTAGGTACTTTGGAACCTGAAGTACACAGTTCATTGCTGTGCCTATCAAGCCATCCTGTTCCCCTGTTTTGGTGCTGCCCCACTCTGAAATGTTGAGAATTAAATAGAATATTTAAATTTGTTCTTGCTTAAAATAGTAAATATAGAAAAACTATCAATGTGTCTAGGCCTTTACTGAAATATACTGTTACCTCTAGGATATTTTTTTTCAAGCCAAGCTACAAGGTCAGTTCTAAAAACTAGAAATTAAAAAAAAAAACTCGTTAAATCTATAAATAACTAGAAATAAAAAAAAAAAAGTTAAATCTATAAATAAGTAAATCACATTATCAAAAATGAGTCGTCTGACCCAGCAATTCCACTACTGGGAATATACCCCAAAGAAACCGTAACTGTCACCCAAGTAGACAGATGCACAATCATATTTATCGCAGCTTTGTTCACAATAGCAAAGAGCTAGAAACAACCCAAGTGCACATCAACAAACATACCAATAGAGAAGCTGTGGTATACTGCATTGAAAAACTAGGAACTCATGAAATATTATTCAAAATGGGTGACTCTGGAGGACATTATACTGGGTGAAATATCTCAGTCACAAAAGAACAAATACTACATAGTGACACTGCTGTAAAACGGGACTGACATTGGGTTTGGACGGAGAAAGATGAGATAAACTATATATACTGCACTGAGACAGATGAGGGAGAGAACTGTTTAAAAGCAATATATGATTAGGTAATATTGTCACGACAGGAGTCCAGAACGAAGGCTGCATAGTGGAGTGGACTTGCAGGGAGGGACTGCATAACAATGAAAGATTTTTTTCTCTTACTTTTCAAAGAGAAAGGAGGCGGGGGATTAAAAAAAGCAATCAAAAAATACTCACTAAGAACCAACTGCAAAAAAAATAAAAAAAATAAAAAAATAAAGAACCAACTGCAGAAAGCATTCCTTACCATTATCATTGGTTAAGTTGAGCAGCACCCCAATGATGGCCCGCATGCAGTCTTCCACTGCTTTACCCACATGGCTAGTTACATTCTGGTGAGGCTTACTGTCCGGTAGGCATATACTGTTTTCAGCACGGTTATATTGCTGAATTAGTTCTTCACAATGTTGTAATGCTCTTAAGAGAAAAAGCAAATGTAGATTAATAATTTAAAGAATTAGTTATAAAGAATTTTTTGTATACTTGTGCTTTTAGCTTATCATATATTACATTTTCTGGCGTTCTCCTCAATCTAAACATTATAATGTATTAAGTAATCAATTATTTATCATCTATATCTAGTATTTCATTATTCTATTTTTTTATTACATAAAAACTTAGTAATTTTAAAACCTTCTCTTAGCAAAGATAGCATCAAAAATTCTTGGCAACAGTTTCTCTTATGGATGGTACTATCTATATATCAACCATTAGGAGCTCCTGTTGCTTAGCAGTAAGAAGTTGGGCTGCCAACCCAAAAGCTCAAGGTTCAAAGTTATCAGCTATTCCAGGGAAGAAAGATGGGCAGTGTCCTCCCAAGTGATTTATTGCCTCTGGAAACCGACTGAAGGGTCAGCTGTGAGGTGGTTCGGACTGGACAGCACATAACAATATATTGACCTAATTCTTTGTCCCTCACTTCAGAACTGTTCTTTATATTCTTATTTCTCCTAACACACATATCCACCATAACTGGTTCTCAAATAGGGTGAAGAGTGAACACTGAATATTTTTTAATCTCACTTAAATGCTTTCCATTTAAAATATACAATCTTAGTACTAGAAAATAGTATTTATGTATGATTCAAATAACCTTGTAAATGCAAACATAACATTTCTCCTGCCAGTTATCTAAGGGTATCATTTATATCTAAGGATTCTCAAGATACTACCCAAAATAAGTAGGACACTGAATCCTTATGGCCTGGTTATTTCTGAAGATTCTTTAAAGCACCAAGTATATGAATATATTTTTAAAGTCTAACACACATAGAAGAGGTCTGATGGCCTAAGGGGTAAAGAGTTATGCAGCCAACCCAAAGACAAGGTTTAAACCTAGCAGCTGCTCCACGGAAGAAAGATGGGCAACCTGAGCCTGCAAGACATACTGTCTCTGAAAACCACGAGAGGGTGGAATGAGTCAGTTCTGACTTGACAGTACATAGTATTAAGTGAGTGCACACATATATATTCTATTCTATGCTTAAAACTCGATCGCACTTAGAAACTTTACCAATTCCTTAAACTTCACAACCACTTTGTTAGAAAGGTATTCTTTAACAATAATACCCTACACAATTGCTAATCACAAGATTAAATACTTGGGAGTACATCTAACCAGAAGCACAAAGGAGCTATTCAGAGAAAATTACAAAACACTACTACAAGAAACAAAAAGAGACCTGGCGAAGTGGAAGAGTATCCCTTGCTCATGGAAGACTCAATATTGTGAAAATGATAGTACTACCAAAGGCAATTTACACATTCAATGCAATCCCAGTAAAAACACCAATTCCATTCTTCAACAAGATGGAAAAGGCTATCTCTAATTTCATTTGGAATGGAGAGAAGTCCCGAATAAGCAAAGCATTCCTTAAAAAGAGAAACAAGGTTGGAGGAATCTCACTCTCTGATTTCAAATCCTACTACACTGCCTTTGTGGTCAAGACAGTGAGGTACTGATACAATGACAGATACACAGATCAATGGAATAGAATTTAGAATCCAGAAATCAACCCACCTTACCTACAGTCAACTGATTTTTTACCAGAAGATGAAATCAGTCAAGTGGGGAAATGACAGCCATTTTAACAAATGGTGCTAGTAAAATTGGAAAATGATCTGCAGAAAACTCAAGCAAGATCCAAACCTCACTCCATAAACAAAAACCAACTCAAAGTAGATCATGGACAAAGGACTATAAACATCATTAAAAAAAAGCTTGGAAGAACCCTAGAAGTCCTAATCCACAACATAAACAGTCTTCAAGGCATCCTGAAAAATCTACAACCAGGAGAGGATTAAACAGACGAATGGGACATTCTAAGAATCAAATCCCTATGCACATTCAAAAACTTCTCCAACTGGGTAAAAAAGGGAAGCCACAGATTGGGGAAAAAAATTTGGTAAAGCAATGTCAGATATGGGTCTTATATTTAGAATTTATAAACTACTCGAGCACCACAAGAAGATAAAGGTAAACAACCCAATTGCAAAATGGGCACAGGATATGAACAGACACTTCACCAAAGACATTCAGATAGTAAACAAGCACATGAAGAAATGTTCAAAATTCCTAACTCTAAGAGAGATGCAAATCAAAACAACTATGAGATATCATCTCACTCCAGTAATCATAGCAAAATTTAACAGAACATTAAATAAATGCTGTTGTGGAGAAACTGGAACCCTATTCACTGTAGGTGGGAGTGTAAAATGGCGCAACCACTATGGAAGGCTGTATGGCGCTTTCTCAAAAGTTGCAAATAGAAGTATCATTTGACCCAGCAATTCCACTACTGGAAATATACTCTAAAGAAAGCATGACTGCCACCCAAAAAGATACAAGCACACTTATGATTATTTCAGTTTTGTTCACAATAGCAAAGAGCTGAAAACAACCCAAGTGCCCATCAACAAAGGAATGGATAGAGAAGCTGTGGTATATTCACACAATGGAGTATTATGTAGCATTAAAAAACAAAGAACTCATGAAATATTGTTCAAAATGGATGACCCTGGAGGACATTACACTGAGTGAACTATCTCAGTCACAAAAAGACAAATACGGCATAATGCCACTGTTATAAAAAAAGGATTGACATAGGGGATGGGGGAAGACCGAGAAAGATGGGATAAATAATGTATTCTGCATTGAAACAAATGAGGGAGAGAACTGTTTAAAAGGGATATATGATAAGATATTATTGTTATGACAGGAGTCCAGAACGAAGGTAGCACAGTGGAGTGAACTTGGGGGGAAGGATTGAATAACAATGAAAGAATTTTTTTCTTTTACTTTTCAAAAGGAAAAGCTAATGGGGGGAGGGGTGGACAGGGAGAAAAACGTTAACAATAAATAAATGGAAATCCAAAGTCTTTTAACTTTCATTAAAATAAGTTTAAAACAAAAATATTTAAAAAGGTGTTCTTTATTACTAATTAGAATTATAATCAGAATTACAATGTTCTAGTACTGAGCAGAGTCATGAATTTTTTCAAGATGCTCTTTCTGTAGTTCTCTTTTACAGAAAAGCTCCAAAATCAGATGCGTGCTCTTTCACAAATATCCACTTTCAAGCCATTTAATTAGAATTTTCTAATCACAACCAAGAGCTAAAATCTGTATTAAATATCTTTTAACAAGACACTCCTCAGGGATTATGACATATACAAAGCTGACATCTTAAAATCAGAAACAAATTTAATTTGCAAGCATACTACTGAATGAAGAGTGGTAAAACATGGTAAATAGCAAATGGAATGCATGCACTCAGGACACTGTGATATAAAATTTACAAATATAAGAAGAAAGATATGGAGGGTAATGTACATTTTGAAAATAACCTAGTACAATTTTGAATTAGAATGCTAACTGGGCATCTGATACTATCTCAAGTCCCAGTGCACATGGTGAGAAAGTAATACTGTAGTTATTTTTAAAGTAATGATAAATTAAAGGGTATGACACTTAGAATCTGTTTCAAAATAACATGAAAGCAAGAGGTAACAGGAGTTCTAAGCAGAAAAAAACCAAGACTAGCTAGGAACAGTAACTATTCAAAGTAAGGGTATATAAACATGGAGGTTCATCCAATAGTTTTATCTACTTTTGTCTTATGTCTGAAGTAACAAGGTTGAAGAGAAAATAGAATGCAGTGGATTTGATAGTACACTAAGGAATACAGACAATTTAAAGACACTAAGAAATTGTAGTGATTTGGAACCTGGAATGATTTTTTCAAAATTTGAGATGGCAACTCCCAGGAGTACTGTGTTGGCCAGAATTCAAAGAATTAGGGCAGAGATGTCAGGAAATAGCAATAAGCTATTGTTATCAGACAGAACCAGGATATAGAGACATATATGAAAATGTTATACACATCAAAATGATGGTATCAGCCTGTCATAAAATTTGGTTGTGTGGTAGGAGTAGGGATCAAGTGAAGTCACAACAGATTCTTCTATAATCACTACAAATAATTAGTTCACATCTTTACTATCTACAAACTCCTCTAGCAGGAGAGTTAGAAGAGTCTATGCATAATAAAAATGTGGACTAACACTTTGCTACTTCATGTTAAGGGCTGTTCTAGGTTTAACAAAGAACATGTAACAAATTATATGTATGTATATTACATATGATAGAAGGAGAAGAGACTGAGATTGTTAACAGTTACAGCTTGCTCAGCTCCACAATCAACACTTTTGGCACCAGCAGTAAGGAAATCAAAAGACTAATTACACTTGGAAAATCTGCTGTCAGGGCCCTCTCCAGAGTACGGAGAACAAACAATGTCAGTCTAGAAATTAAGGTGCACATGATACAGGCCATGGTCTTCACAATTACTTGCTATGTTATCAGAGACCTGGACAATGACTAAGGATGACGTAAGAATTGATGCCTTTAAGTTGTGATGCTGGAGAAGAATCTTGAACAAACCATGGAAAGCCAAGAAAATAAATGGGTCTGTCTTGGAGAAGATGAAACCAAGTTTCTCCTTGGAGGCTAGGATTTTGAAGCTCTGTCTCACATACTTTGGGCATGTGGCCAGGAGGGATCAATCCTTAGAGAAGGACATCATTTTCAGAAGGGTGGATGGACAATGCAGGAGAGGAAAAGCCCAGAAAAGATAGACTGATACAGTAACGAGGGCAATGGGGCTATGTGTACAGGAGTCAGTGAGACTAGCTTCAGAGCTATTGTACATAAGGTCACAGACAACTCGACAGCACATAACAATAATTATATATAATGTCTGTCTGAGCAAATGAACTCATTTAACTGTCACAAAACCTCTGCATGTAATTATTACTTCCCATCTGTATCTGAAAACTTCTAGCAAAAGTGAACTGCTCAAGACTCTAGCCCTGGCCTTGAGACACCAAGGTCATTCAGTCATTCTGCCTCTATAATCTCTAAATCTATCCTGACTCATAAAACTAACATATAGAAGTATTTTATGCAAGAAGGTGGCAGAACCTAGAATAGAATAGAATCTTTATGATATTCCAAACTCTTAGAAAAATATACAACTTTATAATAACTTACTTAGCTGATGAAACAATAAGTTGTGAATCTTTATATGCTATCAAGTAGCTTTGATTCTCTGGATTATGCACTGTTACCTAAAAGGGGAAAAAGCCAAAATGGAGAAAAGTAAGCACTACTTCTCTGTTTTAATTATTGGAATTATCCATAACTTTCACTCATTTACATACAACATACTATGCCTGGTGCGTCAAGAGAAAAAAAATGAACTTCTTGTCAGTTAATCAAACAAGTTAATGCATTAAAGAAAATTTGACAGAAAGAATACTTAAGTCTGGCACATAATTAATAAGTCTGACGTGCAAAGTTTCTTCTAGGGAATAATGTAAGTAACTAAGATATAGGCATTCTTAAAATAGGAAAGAGTTCATTATTAACTAGCTGTTCAAAGATTGTACTGCAACTATCGAATAATAAAAGCCTAATTCTGGATTATGTAATATAAAATATGCAGCAGATACACACACAATCACACTTACTATAAAATCATGTCATCCCATAGTTGTTTATACTTACACTTTCTAGAACTCGTAAACATCGCTCTGCACCCCATAATGAGGCTACTAATTTCTCTTCATCTTCATCTCTACTTAGATGATCCACACATTCTTTTACTAGGAAAAAAAGAAGCATAAAGTAGTATGTCGCAACACCTTAATACTTTTAGCTAATAATATTCTGTACATGTACATGTACCAAGTACTTTATATTGTGAAATACTAAAATGTATCAGATTCTACTTTCTAATTACTGTGTTCCTAACATCTCAAATAAAAATATTAATGGCCTCATCTTTATAAGGTTAGAGACTTCACCACAACAATAAAAAGGTAAATAACCCAATTGAAAAATGGGCACAGGATATGAACACACACTTCACCAAAGAAGACATGCAGATGGCCAACAAGAAATGTTCAAAATCCCTAGCTTCTAAGAGATGCAAATCAAAACAACTATGAGATATCATCTCACCCCAGTAAGAAAAGTAAAATTTAACACAACAGCAAACATCAAGCTGGCGAGGTTGCGGAGAAACTGGAACCCGTATTCACTGTTGGTGGGAGTATAAAATGGTGCAACCACTACGTAAGGCTGTACATGGCCCTTTCTCAAAAAGTTGCAAATAGAAATATGATTTGACCCAGCAATTCCACTACTGCAAATTTACCCTAAAGAAACCATAACTGCCACCCAGGCAAATATATGCTCACCCATGTTTACTGCGGCTTTGCTCCCAATAGCAAAGAGTTAGAAACAATCCAAGTGCCCATCAACAACAACAAAAAAACGAATGTATAGAGAAGCTGTGGTATCTATACACAATGGAATACTATATAGCATTGAAAAACAAGGAACTCACGAAATAGGACATTATACTGAGTGAAATATCTCAGTCACGAAAGGACAAATATTGCATAGGGTCACTATTGTAAAACAGGACTGACATCGGGGTTGAGGGAAGACAAGAGAAGGAGGGGATGAATGATGTATACTGCATTGAAACAGATGAGGGAGAGAACTGTTTAAAAAGGATATATGATTGCATATTATTGTCATGACAGGAGTCCAGAATGAAGGTTGCACAGTGGAGTGGACTTGGGGGGAGGGATTGAATAACAATGAAAGAGTTTTACTTTTCAAGGAAAGGAGTGAATTGGGGGGAAGGGGGGGCAGGGAGAAAAGTGCAACAATGAATGAATGGAAACCCTAAGTCTCTGTAAATTATCATTAATTTTAAAAAAATAGGTTAGAGACTTAACAGAATTTTTAAAAATTTTTCAAAGCACATAATTTAAGTATTTGACATGGTTTAAATAATGTATTAAAACATTTTAGATGTGGATGTCATACCTTTATCTACAATATGGTCCAGACCACCTAGAAGCCGTAGTTCTTCTTTAAACCAGTCTCCTGCTCGTTTAGAAGTAAGGGACAATAGTGTCTCCATAGCTAAATGCCCTGTCTAAAATTCAGAAACAGCATTAATAAATATTGACTCCTAACAATAATTATGAAGTAACACTGAAACTGCATTTCTTTGCAAAGTTCACTGTATGTAAGCAGTAGTTTCTTCACAGTATAGTACTCTAAGTATAAACAAATTTTTAGTTTTACCAAAATAGTCTGAGTTAAAAAAAATGTTTTTAATCATTCAGCTTGATAGCTTATATGTTATTAAAAGTAGTTTATAATCTGCCATTTCTATACTATCTACAGGTATGGTATTTCTGTGGGACAGAGCTTCAAGAGTAAGACTGCAGAAAGTGTAAACATACATACTTTAAATGTAAATACACCAAATCAATTTCCCACAAAGGCTTTCTTTAACCAAACATTTTCAGGAGCAAAATTAGTGAATTCTCCAAAGCAAGTTATCATTTAAAATCTCTGCCTATATTTGGGTTGTTGTTGCTGTTCTGTGCCACTGGAACCAACGAGCCACAGCTGAACCTCCAGCAGGTTTGCAGAGCCAATAAATTATGTGGGAGGAGACTGCCTATCCTTGTCCCCTGGTAGATTTAAACTGCTAGCTTTTGGAACTGCAGTGCAGCTTCCTACCACCAGGCCACTAGAGCATCATATGGGTTTTTCCTGGCTGCAGAACACTTGAATATTTTCCACATTTTTAAAGGTCAACTAATTCTTCTACTGATAGTTTCCTGTTCATTATTCTTCATTATTCGGTATTATCATTTGTATTTTCATTATTGTTTTACACATTTTTCCTCCCCTATTTTGAATTCAGATCCTGTTCTTTACAGTCTTACAGATTCAGAGTTTTAAATTTTATATTGCAGGACAAGTAACTCAGACATTACTTACTACCTTTAAAGTCACCAGAACAAAATAATATACAAGTTTCAGAACCACCACTAACGAACACAAATGCTTACGTAGTAATATTTACAACTAAAGGGCTTTTTTTTCCTTTTTATTTGCCTTTAACTATAATCTTGGGGTTGTTTTCAAGCCTATAACGACCTCCTAATAGCAAACAATCTGTTTTCTACTGTAATAGAAACTCACAGGAGGGGAGGAGGTTTTAATTAGCCACAACTGAAAAGAACTCGTCATCTTTCCCTTAAAAAGATACATGTTTACATTAAGTCATAAGTAATACTGGTCTGCTATTTGGAATAGGATGTGTTTAGAAATTAAAAAAAAAAAAGGTCTAGCATTATAGATTTCTGAGATCTAGAAGACTTTATTCTTAACACACACGCGCGTGTGTGTATGTATGTATGTGTATATATATACACACCCTCCCTCCCTCCCTCTCTCTCTCTCTCCCCCAACACCAAAGTGAAACAGAAAGAAATAGAACACAAACACTAAGACTGGTTAAGTCCACTAGCGTCTTGTGCCTTATTCATGAAGCTAAGGCATTCTTGTTTAAGAAGGAGATAAAAATTTAATGTTGACAGGAGTCAAAATATATGAGCTAAGAAAAGGGGGGGAAAAAATCCAAACCCCAAAACCTCCAAATTATGTAACCTTATTATACATTTTTCTCTATTTGTACAAAAATACTTAAAAAGCCATAATGAAGGGGAGCTCTGGTGGCCGAGTGGCAAGAAGCTGCACTGCAATCCCAGAGGTGCACGGTTCAAATCCACCAGATGCTCTGCCGGGAAAGGAGGGACAATCTCCTCCTGTACCAGTCAGATCCGATTTGACGGTACACAAAAACACACACAAAATAATAATAAAATTTTTTTTAAAGCCATAATGAGTATACCAAAAGTAGCATTTAAAAATACGCTATTCATAAAATTTTATTTGAAAACGGCAATTCCCTTAAGAGTTAAATAAAGACTAATTATAATTAATATACTAATCTGCAATTGTCAGCTTTTTATTCTTTTAACTATATCTGAAAACATCTAGGTCTAATAGTATTTTATATTATCCTTATATAACACATCAGCAGTGTCACAAAATTTCAAGATATAGGGAGCTCTGGTGGCCTAGCAGCAAGAAGCTGCACCGCAATCCCAGAAGCATGCTGTTCAAATCCACCAGATACTCTGCTGGAAAAGAGAGACATTCTCCTCCTGTACCAGTCAGATCCAATTTGACGGTATGCGCGCACGCGCGCGCGCGCGCACACACACACACACACACACACACACACACACACACAAATAGTAAAAAACAACAAAAATTAAGAAAAAAAATTCAAAATTAAGTTCAGAACTGAAAGAAAAATAAAAACTAATGTGTAGGGTATATATGTCCTATAAGACAATGTCTATTCTAGAATTTGAAAAGAAATGTAAAACAAGTGGAAATTCTTGAACTATTTTAAATTTTCTTAAAAACTGCTAAGACTAGTTTACAATCTGAATAAATTTAATGTGTAAGTTTACCATAAAAAGATTTAATAGCAAATGCCTGAAAAGCATTTAAGTATTGAATATAGGAGTCATACTAAAAAGTACAATTACTCAGTACGGCAGCAAATAACCCCAAAAAACACCTTACTATCTCTTAACCTTATACTAATTAAATAAAACAACAGCTTTAAACTAGCATCTAGACAGAACAAAGGATTTTAAACATTTTTCAGAAAAAATACTGCAATAGAAAGTAGAAGGTCATTAAACAAGTATTTTTAGTTTGCTAATATTGGAAATGGCTGAGAGCTAGTAATTATGCAACAAAAATATTTTATCTTTAAAATAACAAGTCAATTATCTTAGCCTATTAACTACTGGTTTGGATTTTGTTCCTTGAGTTTAAGAAATGCTGAGTGAGTTTGGCCCTTTTGATTTTCTGACTCCAGCCCCTTGTACATTTCATTGTAATATTTTACTTTGTCATCCCTAGCTGCCTTTTGAAATCTTCTGTTCAGCTCTTTAGCATCTCGCATTCTTCCTTGTGCACTGTCTTCTCTGCGCTCCAGTGCAATATTCAGTTTCTTCTGACATCCATTTTGGTCTTTTCTTTCTCCTCTGTCTTTGTAATAAACATTTGTACACTTCGTGGATGATACCCTTGATACCCTCCTATAACTCATCTGGTCTTCGCTCATTTGTGTTCAAGGCCTCACACCTGTTCCTGAGATGGTTCTGAAATTCAGGTGGGATAGACTCAAAGTTTTATTTTGGTTCCTGTGGATTCAGTTTAATTTTCCTCAACTTCAGCTTGAACTTGCATCTGAGTAGTTGATAGGCTATTCCACAATCAGCTCCTGGCCTAGTTTTCAAAGGAGATATTGAGTGGTTCTTTCCACAATCTCCGACTGTAAAAGTTGGCAGAAATCCTCTATTTCCTCTTCTTTGGCTCTGGATGTTGGTGTATATATCTGAATGATAGTGGCAAAATACTAAATGATCCAGGAAGTATTAAAAGAAGATGGAAAGAATATACTGAGTCACTATATCAAAAGAAATTGGCAGACACAGAAGAATTTAATGAAACAACATATGAGCAAGAGCCTACGATGATGAAGGAAGAAGTTCAAGCTGCTCTGAAGGAAATAGCAAAAAATAAGGCCCCAGGAATAGATGGTATACCAATTGACATATTTCAGCTAACAGACACTGCCCTGGATGTGCACACCAAGTTGTGTCAAGAAATGTGGAGAACAACCAATTGGCCAACAGACTGGAAGAATCTGTATTTGTTCCCATTCCAAAGAAAGGTGATCTAACAGAGTATGGAAAATATAGAACATATTATTGATTTCACATGTAAGCAAGATTCTGCTGAAGATTATCCAAAAACAACTGGAACAGCACATTAGGAGAGAACTGCTGGAAATTCAGGCTGGGTTTAGAAGAGGTCGTTGTACGAGGGATATTGTAGCTAAGGTTAGATGGATCTTACCTGAAAGCAGACAGTACTGGAGGAATTGACTATGGAAAGGAGTTTCTGACTATGTGGATCATTACAAACTGTGGCTGACTCTGAGAAAGATGGGAATACCAGAACACTTGATCATGCTAATGAGAAACCTATACTTGGACCATCAGAACAGAGCAAGGAAACACTGCATGGTTCAAAATTGGGAAGGGCGTAGGCCAGGGATGTGTTCTGTCTCCCTACCTTTTCAACCTGTACACAGAACAGATCACCCAGAAGTCTGGGCTCTATGAGGAGAAATGCGGCATCCGGTTTGGTGGAAAATCTATCAACAATCTGCGTTGATACAGATGACACAACCCTGCTTGCTAAAACTGAGGAGGACCTGAAGTGCTTGCTGCAGAGGGTTAAGGACTGCAGCCTTCAATATGGATTGAGGCTCAATGTCAAGAAGACAAAGATTCTCACCACTGGGCCAACTGGCGGCATCAGGATGGATGGTGAAGAGATTGAGATTGTTCACAGCTTTAGTCGGCTTGGCTCCACAATCAACACTCTTGGCACCAGTAGCCAGGAAATTAAAA